AAATTGGTTTCATTGGATTGTTGTCTATGGAATGGTTAGTTTGTTTGCTCATTTTGTATGCCTCTTTTTTGTCTTTTTGTAGATTAAATTAGCTTAGTTTTAATTTCTATTGTTTGTTCCTTAAATAGAGGAGGGGTCCTCTTGACCTGTCCTCTTAGATGTGTTACTTATTATCTGGATTATATTAAATAAATTGTGTGTGCAACTTGAAATGCAAATAAAATGAATACTATAACTACGATGAAGGGACATCAAAATAACTGGCATTTGGAATACATATAATGCAGATGGGCAATAAAAAGACATCTGTACTTCTGATAAAGCATATGATCACATATCTTCAGACCTTTCTTGCAGGTGAGCAGCGCACCGATCAGTCCAGAGGCGATGTCCCTGGGGGCGTCAAAGTGGGAGTGGTAGACCCAGGTCAGGCAGTTGGCATCGTCATCTGTGGGGGCAAATTCTGGTCTGACCTCCCAGCGGTAAGTGTAGCGCCCCCCCGGAGGAACAGAGTCATCCTCCTTCAGCTTGTTTGATGTCCCATCTGGATAGAGCGCCCCTGGTAGACAAATACGAAATGTTTATGCTAAGATCAATGTGCTTACTCTGAAGTTCAGTAAGCATTTGAGCTTTACATTAAGTCGGTAAAAATGCTATGGTATTAACGAGCTCAATTTGCCATAACTGTTAAAAAATGTTTGTTTCAGTTTCAGGTGTCCCTGTGTCCACCTAAAATCAATTGAAACATCATGACACAATTCCATCAGATTAATGATAAAAACCTAGAGGACATTATACAACATCTGCTATCCTCCTCCTGCTGCCTTGATATTATTCCAACAGGGTTTTTCAAAAATGTTTTTCATTGCATGGCCTCAGATCTACTTCATATAGTAAACAAGTCTCTTCACTCAGGTGTTTTTCCACAGGACCTGAAATCTGCAGTCATTAAACCACTCTTAAAAAAGAATAATCTAGATGCTTCAGTAATGAACAATTACAGGCCCATATCAAACCTGCCATTTCTAGGTAAAATCATTGAAAAAGTTGTTTTTCAACAGTTGAGTAATTTCTTGCATTTAAATAACTGTTTCGATGTGTTCCAGTCAGGCTTTCGACCAAACCACAGCACTGAGAATGCTCTTGTTGAGGTCTTCAATGACATCCACTTAAACAAAGACAGTGGCAGAACTTCAGTGTTAGTATTATTAGATCTCAGCGCTGCGTTTGACACTCTTGACCAGAACATATTACTAGACCGACTGGAAAACTGGGTGGGACCTTCAGCAACAGTTCTAAATTGTTTTGAATCCTACTTAAAGGACAGAAAAATCTTTGTTTCTATAGGTCAAATACACATCTGAGTTGACAAATATAACCTGTGGGGTTCCTCAAGGCTCCATCTTGGGGCCCCTTCTCTTTAACATCTACATACCACTGGCTCAGATAATGAAAAACAACAAAATAAGTTACCATAGCGGATGACCAGGGCCGGTTCTAACCAATTTGCTGCCCTAGGCGAGATTTTAGCTGGCACAAATGTCACAGCAGGATTTGGAAAAACATGTTCTTACTTTTATCTTCAGTAGACTCGACTATTGTAATGGTGTCTTCACAGGTCTCACTAAAAAAATATGTTATAAAGCTGCAGCCAGGGTTGGGTTGTAACGGAATACATGTAACGGCGTTATGTAATCAGAATAAAAAAATCAAGTAACTGTTCAGCTCGCGTTACATTTGAAAAACGAGTAATCTGATTACAGTTACTTTCGTAAACCTGAAGTGAATACGTTTTGGATTACTTATTGGAATTATTGGTGGAAAGATTTCCTCTCAACATTTAATATGAATTACTATAGGTACAGCCGAATCATCACAGCGCACAAAACCTATTACCGCCGCAGATGGACCAAAAAAGCGTTTGAAAAGAAATCGCGGGTCTGCTCGCTCAGTGAAACAATAACAACGAAACATGGCGGAACAAAAGTCTGCGTTTAAATCGCGTGTGTGTGTGTATATATAGGTGTGTGTGGTTAAAACACATCAGCCTGCGGTCGCTCTTTAGCCTTTCTAATGATTATTTCTGAAGGTAAACACACTACAGTGAAGGCGGTGCGTGAAAGGCACTGCGCGGCGCGCTCGTCTTCTCAGAGTTAACCCTCCCGCTGCCTCCTGGTGCTGCAGAGATTTCATGAAGTGAAGGAGGTTTTCCTTCTATAAAACAGCTGTGGGCAGCAAATACTGTGAGTGTCACGGACAGAGATGGGGTCGTTACTAAAAAAAAGTAATATATTACATATTACATATTACTTAAAAAAAAAGTAATATATTACACTACTTCGTTACTCTCTACATAAAGTAACTCGTTACTTTACTCGTTACTTTACTCGTTACTTTACTCGTTACTTTACTCGCAGGGCCGGCCCGCCCCTCCCTACAGGCAGATCACGCAGACTGCGGCGCACCTACAGTGTGCGCGCCACAGTTTTGCCTCTGCGAGACTCCACTTGCACCCCCAATTACTATTGCATTAAGGAAGACATAACACAAGTCTTTCTTTTTATATGCTCTAAAATAGGCTACCAGCCACACAACAAACTAACAGTCTGTGAAACGTAAATACACTAATTAATTAAACCAGTTCAAGACGCATTATTCTTATCATTCTTTATGAGCGCATAACGGTAAGGTATCTAATTACTTATTTATTTAGTATTCCATAACTTAGTAACAGAGATGGTCAAACTAAAGTGGTAGAGACAGAATTCCTACAATGAAGCGGGGCATTGAACTGTTCGCCCGTGAGAGGGCGATCAACAAAGGAGAGCGAGCGGCCCCGTTGAGGGAGTTTACAGATGATAAGACTCAGCCATGTTTATGCAGCACTGCACGTGGAGATGTGGTCTCGCAAATCGCGCAGATTACATAGGCCTACATGTATATAAACCTGCGGCGGAAACCCCTCTAGTCTGTCAGTGAGTGTGATTATTTTATAAAAGTAACGAAGTAACGCGTGTCGGGGCAATGTTAGTAACTGTAGTGTGATTACTAATTACTAAATTAAAGTAACGCGTTACACTGCTTCCTTACCGACACAAGTAATATTATTACAGTAACGCGTTACTTTGTACCGCGTTACACCCAACTCTGGTCACGGACATGAATTCATAGATCAAGGCAGACTGGTGCACACACTCTCCTGTTTTGCCAATCCGGTGCTTAAACAAATATAGCTCGACACCCCTGGCCGAAATGTCCTTAAAATCAAGTCCGAGTTCGACATTTTAATTCATGTCCTGTCAACACTGGCAGGACAGAAGGCGACACGCCAGTTCTAAGCCGTGTCCCTCACTCCTCACATCCCAAGCTGCATCCCCAAAAAGTGTATTATGTTGTTGCATCGTTTCAGAAGTTATGTTTCAGTTGTGCTCTTGATAAACCATTAAAACAGTAAAAACACGTTCAGTTTCCTTTTGCTTTTTGTGTCTCCTGTTCACCAAAACATACCCATCTGTGATGGAAAAAGAAAGTAATCCAAAAGTAATCTAAAAGTAATCTGATTACGTTACTTTTTTAAGACACGTAACTGTAACTGTATTCGGATTACTTTCAGAGCCATGTAATCAGTAATCAGTAACTGATTACATTTACAAATTAACCCTCCCAACCCTGGCTGCAGCTAATTCAGAACTCCGCTGCTCGAGTCCTCACTAACACTAAGAAAGTGGATCACATCACTCCAGTTCTGATGTCTTTACACTGGCTTCCTATGTGTCAAATAATTTATTTCAAAAATACTGCTGCTGGTTTATAAAGCTTTGAATGGTTTAGGCTGTCCCCAGAGTCAGAACTAAACATGGTAAAGCAGCGTTCAGTTATTATGCTCCAAATATCTGGAACAAACTCCCAGAAACCTGCAGGTCCACTGCAACTCTTACTACTTTTAAATCCAGGCTGAAGACTTTTCTTTTTGCCGCTGCTTTTAATTGAACTATTAATATCTTAAACTGCACTGTAACTTTTATTCATGTATTTTTTCTTTTAATGTTTATTTTATTACCTTTGCTTTTTAATGACTGTTTTTAAATGCCATTTTCTTAATGTCTTTAATTTTTGTAAAGCACTATGAATTGCCTTGTGTTGAAAGGTGCTATATGCCTTGCCTTGCATTACTGTCATTCCTGAGACGTGATTGTTGTTTGTGTATCACATTATTGCACACACTTCTGTTGATTTGAAAAGGAAACTAATATTGTCAGTCTACTTATTATTACAGCAACTACTGGGTTTTGTATTAAGAAGTGGGAAATCACAGATGATATTTCTGTGTGTGAATTCTGCATGAGTGTCTCACGTTATATGCTTATACTATATATGTATTATGCAGCACTATACCCTCTGAGTTCTTCTCGTAGAAAACTCCATGAGGATGCATGGTGTAGCTCCTGGTTGCAAAGTTATTCAGGTGGACGACAATAACTTCATCAACCTCAGCTCGCAGTATCGGCCCCAGGAAGCCCAACCAGGCCGGTCGAGGGGCCAAGACGCTGTATGTGGCATCTGTATACTGTCTGAACATGGCTTTCTTATAAACACTGCCAATACGGTGGGGTCCTCTCTCCAGGAACACAGATGCATGCCTGGGATAGGAGTAGAGAAAGACAAATGTTAAAACAGAAGGAATTATGGGAATCGTTGTTATATTATACAATATATAATTGCACAACTTTATCTCCTTAACATGGTAAATACAAGGTTTTGCAAAAATAAAAAAGCATTAAGAGGCGTGATTAATTTTAGTTAAAAAGAAGAAAAAATACTTGTGATCTAGTCCATAAATACACATGGGAGAAAACACCATTAATTACGCAAACACCATGACACCACCGTGACAACTGCGCAGCTGCCTAATTATTGCCAAGAATGTATTAGCTAGTTATACAACTATATATTTTGTAAGAGAAACAAAGAAGTATCACCAGTATAAAAGTGAAAATATTGTGGGAAGGCGATATAGCGCTATCTGTACAATATATATATATATTTTATATTAAGATTTATTTTTTGGATTATTTTAAACCATTGGTTTTGATTACGTATAGCAACAGAGAGAATGAACATTATTATGTGTTACGTGCCGTGGTGTGTGTGTGTTTCTCTCTCTCCCTCTATATTGTCTCCAGGTGCAGCTTCTCCTCAGGTGCTCCCAATCACTAATCAGGGCCTCCATAAAGGACCTGGGAAAAGCTGCAGTCTCTCTCCCTTCTCCCCGGGCTGGATGTGTGCAGCGTGGTGTCCATGTCTCCAATATATATATATTTGTAGCAAGAGTTGTTTTGCAAGTTGGCTGGTGAGCCGTGTTCCTGATTGATCATTAAACGACTGGATCGTTACTCAGAGATCGGTTTTCTCTCCCTTTTTGTCGCGCTTGGTCATCCTGGTGTGTTGTTACTTCCCTTTGTACCCCCTAGATCTAGAAGGGAACGTAACATGGGGGCTCGTCCAATCTTTCAGAAAAATAGTGAGTAGTTGTTTGTGGTTTAGTGTTGGTATTGTGTTTGGTAGCATTGACTTCCTCAGTTTAGACAGGGGAGTGTCTAGCTGGGCTGAATCAATCCTTCCTTCAGGCACTCATTTTTTATTTTGCCTTTTTTATTTTCGGGGTAATCCTGGGTGGGGATTTATTCCCTGTTGGGGGCAGGCGATTCAGGGTTTCGGCCACTGATGTTTGCCTTTAAAGTCGCCTCGAGCCCGGCACGCCCCAGAAGATAGTTAGGTAAGTTTGGTAGGCAGGATCTGGGGAAGTTTGTAAAAAAAAAAAAATTGTAATAATAATATATATATTTATAAGTAGCCGTTGCTAAGGATGGCTTTTGTTTTGGAGCAGTTTGTGGCCAGTCCTACTGTGGGTCAGCTAGACTGCTGTAGGAAGGTTGATTTGCGGTTAGTGGCTGACCATTATCACGTTTCTGTCTCCTCGGCTCTTGTTAAAAGTGAACTAAAGGCTACTTTGCTAACTGGACTAGTGGAACAGGGGGTTTTGAGTCGGCCTACTTCAGTGGAATCTCCTGGCGCGGTGGCCGGGGCTGTAGCAGCAGTATCTCATGGTGGAGGCCGCATTGGTGTTACTCCTGGTGTTCAGAGTGCTACGGAACGGGCAAAACTTTTCACCACACCTCAGTTTGGCTCGTTCTCGGCAGGATCCTCACCTACGGGGTCTAAATTAGATGCTAGGGTAAAAGTGCGTATGGCTCGTCTCCAGTGTGCGAGGGAGGAGCGAGATAGGGATTTTCAGCTCAGGAGGGAGCTGGAGATCAGGAAGCAGGAGCTGGAGCTGGAGATCAGGAAGCAGGAGCTGGAGATCAGGAAGCAGGAGCTGGAGATCAGGAAGCAGGAGCTGGAGATCAGGAAGCAGCAGCTGGAGGCAGACACAGCTGTCCGGATGCGTCAGCTAGAGCTCCAAGCAGCTGGGATGGGTGATTCTGCAGTTACACCTTCTGTTCCTGCTGCCTCCTTTGACGTGAGCAGGCATATTTCTTTGGTCCCTGTGTTTCGTGAATCAGAGGTCGATGTCTATTTTGGTGCATTTGAGCGCATTGCTGCTGCTCTGCACTGGCCAGAAGATGTGTGGGCTATTCTTTTACAGTGCAAGCTAGTCGGCAAGGCTCAAGCGGCTTGCTCTTCTCTTTCAGTCGAGGATAGTTTGGTGTATGACAATGTGAAAGGTGCTATTCTCAGGGCATATGAGCTAGTGCCTGAGGCCTACAGGCAGCGTTTTCGCGGCCTGAAGAAAACTTCTGGCCAAACGTACGTGGACTTCGCGAGGGAGAAGAAAGCCCTCTTTGACAGGTGGTGTAGAGCATGTAAAGCTGATGACATTGCTTCAGTGTGCGAGCTAATGATGTTAGAGGAGTTTAAACACTGTGCACCGGAGCGTACGGTAGTCTATCTGAATGAGCAGAAAGTGACTACCCTTCAGCAGGCTGCCATTATGGCAGACGAGTTTGCGCTGATACACAAGAGCGTTTTTTTTCAGCATGATCCTCCTCAGCGGGAAACTTATCATAGAGCTCCTGACAATTACGTTCCCTGTGCCAGTGTTCCATTGTTAGGTCCCAGGATGAACAGAGCTTGTCATTTTTGTCTTTACCCAGGTCATATGATAGCAGACTGTGCAGCTTGGAAGAGAAAGCAGACAGTGGATGGCAAGCGCCCAGAAGGGGTGGGTTTGGTTACAACAGTGTGTCCTAGTGGACGGGCCACTGGTAACAAAGGACCTGATGAGTGTTTGAAACCGTTCATCACTACTGCCTTTGTCTCTCTGTCAGGAAAGGTGGAGGACCAGCGGCAGGTCACGTTGTTGCGAGACAGTGGTGGCTCACAGTCATTCATCCTTGCCGGTGCCCTGCCCCTGAGTGCTGAGTCTGCCTGTGATGCGGATATGGTGGTGAGAGGTATTGGGATGGGTTCTGTGCCCGCACATCTTCACAATGTCCATGTCCAGTCTGAACTGGCTACTAGTTTCTTTCCAGTTGCTGTGCTCCCCAAATTTCCTGTCGACGGTGTGGATGTCATAATGGGTAATGATATAGCCGGGGGTAAAGTGTATCCTCAGGGCAGTGATCCTCACTGTAGGGCTCGTAACAGACGTGTCACACGTGCTCAGTCTGTTTCTCTCCCAGGTCCCGACATTAAGAGATTGTGTTTCTTTTGTCTTGACCCTGGTCATTTGGCGGTGGAGTATGATGCTTGGAAGCAGCAGGTGGCAGCTTCCAAGCATCCAATGGTATGCTGGTGAACTGGGTGGTGGGTGTTGTTGGTAACGGTGACCAAACACTTGTTTGGTTTTATGGGGGGAAGTGTTACGTGCCGTGGTGTGTGTTTCTCTCTCTCCCTCTATATTGTCTCCAGGTGCAGCTTCTCCTCAGGTGCTCCCAATCACTAATCAGGGCCTCCATAAAGGACCTGGGAAAAGCTGCAGTCTCTCTCCCTTCTCCCCGGGCTGGATGTATGCAGCGTGGTGTCCATGTCTCCAATATATATATATTTGTAGCAAGAGTTGTTTTGCAAGTTGGCTGGTGAGCCGTGTTCCTGATTGATCATTAAACGACTGGATCGTTACTCAGAGATCGGTTTTCTCTCCCTTTTTGTCGCGCTTGGTCATCCTGGTGTGTTGTTACTTCCCTTTGTACCCCCTAGATCTAGAAGGGAACGTAACATTATGTTTACTTGATTTAAAAAGCAGATATTCTGACAAAATTCTCATAAAAACAGGTTTCACTGTAAGATCCACTCCCTTTTTATTTAAATGCCATGCACATGAATCACAGTTATAATAGCTAATTAAGACGTTTTGAGGTCGACCAAATATATAAGGTTACTTCAGTAAGCTACCTGTCAATGGAGGCTGTAAATGGGAAAACTGAAGCAAAAATGTACAGGATAAGAATAATTGTTTAATGTATATACTAAAAGAGCTTGACTGATTTTGCTGGCCTTGAATGTATTGTGCATTGGTTAGAGACTGTTGGGTAAGACAGCTGGCTGATGAGGAAAGGTCAGGAGAGTCCAGCATTTTATAAGAGTTACTAAACTGTCTTATATGAAGAGATGAAATCAGGCATTGTAGGCTCAACTATCCAACACTTAAATCCTCCATAACATTCTCAGACTTTTACATCTTTCTGATATTGTAAAAACAGAGCAACCTTACCATACAGTATGATCACTGGTGGTGTGATGCAACTACTCAATTGTCATTCAAGCAGCATCTGATTTTTTTGGCTTTATTTTGGTCAGTGTAACTAAACCAGGAAGCCACCAATCTCATGAAAGCAGACACTCGTTCACTGTTAGACACTAAATACTGTCATCTTTCCTGTGCATCTGCCAGACTGCCAAAAATAAGCAACACTACCCATTGTCACATACTGACGCGATGACAAATGCTACTGGAGCACTTTTGACCTTACAGTTTTTTATTTGAAGTTTGCCATAGCATTTATTACAATTAACATCAGTTGGTAATCTCAACAGCCCATGTGGGAATTTGATATGATGTGATAGATCATATGTGATGAAATGTATACTCAATCTGTACATAATTTCTAAAACAAAACTAACTCATCCTTTTCCACGTCTTGTCCGTTAAGCAGGTTTTTTCCACTTGGTGCGTAATCCCAAGAGTCCTCAATTATCCCCACATAGTAAACTCTCTCCCTGCTGCGCTTCCCTTCCGCACCCGCGGTGAGAAGAAACAACAAACAACTCGCAAACAGCCACAAAGTCCGAGACATGATCAACCGTTCACTCCGTTAGAAGCAGGTCCTTGAGGTTTACCGGGTTGTATAGAAGTGTGATGTGGGCCGCCTGCATGGGCACTGATTGATTGGATTTGGAACAGGTGTGTTAATCAGCTGAGAGACTCACAGCTGAGAGACTCAAAAGGCAGAGGTGTGAATTGAGGTTGAATGTTGGAACACATGACAGAACTGAACTCTCTAGTCATTGTGTTAAGATTGTTTAACAGGGTGTGGGATTCTGGCCAACTTCCTTCAGTATGGAAACAAGCGATAATAGTGCCCATCCTAAAGCCAGGGAAAGACCCTTCAGATCCATCCAGCTACAGACCTATTGCCCTGCCCCTGACATCTAATTTATGCAAAATCATGGAAAGAATGTTTACAGAAAGGTTAATGTATATCTTAGAAAGTAAAGCTCTGTTGTCCCCATATCAAAGTGGGTTACGTAGGGGTCGGAATACAATGGATTCTATTGTGCTTAGAATCAGATATCAGGAAAGCACAGGCCAACAAGGAAGTAGTGATTGCAGTCTTCTTTGATATTGAAAAGGCTTATGACATGCTCTGGAAGGAAGGACTACTAATCAAGTTAAAATCATTGGGAATTGGTGGTAAAGCATATCATTGGGTTATGAATTTTTTACTGGACAGGAAAATACAAGTAAGAGTAGGTGCAGAATATTCAAGTGTTTATGCTGTGGAAAATGGTAGGCCTACTCCGCAAGGTAGTGTATCGTATGTAGTCCGCTGCTGTTCAATATAATGATACATGACATTTTTAATCAAGTTCATCCAAGTGTGGGAAAGAAAATATAAGCTGCAATAGTTGAAGTGGAAACATTTACAAATAAATGGGGATTCAAACTGTCAGTAGCTAAGACGCAGGTCATTTGTTTTACAAAACGGCATAAAATTGCTCCTATATTGTTAAAATTGTATGAGCAACCTCTTGAACAGGTTAATACAATAAGATTTATTGGTGTTTGGTTTGACGGAAAGCTAACATGGACAATCATATTGGAAAAGTTCAAAATAAATGTAAAAAGGTCAACAATATACTTCGGTGTTTGGTGGACAGGAGTGGGGAGCGAGTAGGTCATCACTACAGAACTTATATTGGGCACTCATGAGACCTGTATTCGATTATGGGTGTATAGCGTTCATGTCAGCAGCAGAATCAAACCTTAAAAAGCTGGATGTCCTACAAGCTCAGGCCCTGAGAATTTGTAGTGGAGCTTTTAAAACATCTCCAGTATCAGCAATACAGGTGGAAATGGAAGAAATGCCTTTAAGGATAAGAAGAGTGAAGTTAATGTTGGCATACTGGGTAAACCTTCAGGGGCATTGTGATAGTCATCCTGCGAAAAGTATTTTTGAAAGACTGCTGGGAGCACAATGAGTCACATTTAACAAGTTTTGGATGGATTGGTGATGTTAAAGCAGCAAGTATAGGTTTGAATCAAGTACAGTATTGCCCCACAGTTCCAATCTCGTCCATTCCACCCTGGTTATTCCCAATGCCAAGGGTAGACCTCAATATACAAAAAGAGTTGAAGGAAAAGAAAGAACTACTGCCAGTATGGCGCATAGTCCAGAATTATTTTTGCAAGATATCACTCAGACTCAACAATCATATTTACAGATGGCTCTAAAGATCCAGAGACAGGGCATGCAGGGGCAGCAGTTTATATCCCAGTGAGTAATACACATATAAAGAAAAGGGTAACAGACCATGTGTCAGTATACACCACAGAGTTGTTGGCATTGGTGTTGTCATTTAAATGGAGAGAGGAGAAAGAAATACATAATAGTGTAATTGCATCTGACAGCTTTTCAGCATTATCGAGTGATCAGGCAGATCTTCATTTAGAATGGACATAATAAATGAAATATTTCTAATTTTATATAAAATGCAAATCAAAGGCATACCAACTTGTTTCATCTGGGTTCCTGCTCATGTTCGTGTGGAAGGTAAGGAACAGGTGGATATTCTGGCCAAACAAACACTCAGAAGTACGAACACAGACATAGAAGTTCCACTTAGCAAAGCGGAGGTTAAAACATTCATACAGAAATATGCACAAACAACAAGAACATTGGGACATTAGTGATACAGGAAGACATCTTTATAAAATGCAATGGTATGTGGGGGATGGAAGGAAGGTGGGGTTTAAAATAAGGGAGGAACATTTAATTTCTCGGATGAGAATAGGTCATACAGGTCTCATTTGGAAAGCATCCAACCGGAAAGTGTATACACTGTAGCCAGCCAGAAACTGTTGAACATGTTTTACTGCATTGCAGGAAATATAGTACTCAGAGAAATGTGCTTTTCCAGACACTGAAGAAAGCAAAATGTCATGACTTTTCGCTATCAGGGCTGTTAGGGAAAACATCAGGCAATATGTATTGTGAGATTATTACGTTTCTAAGAGAAATTGATACATTTAAAATAATCTAGAGTTTTGGTTCTTTTATTTTATTTATTTTGTTTATTGTTTTCTGCATAGTCTCTTGTCCACACTCCAGTCCAGTTGGTGGCGGTAATGCACCTACAAGTTGGTTTGCCAACCGCCAATAAACACCAAAGAAGAAGAAGATGAATCGAGGTTGGAGGACGCGACGTGTGTTTCTCATGGTGTTTCTCAATGTCGAGGAAGGCTGCTCCAGAGCCACTATTTCAAGCATACTACGTCATCGAGTGCCGCCGAAGGACTGTTCCAATGTCCAGCGTACTTGGAATTCTACCGAGCCCGGCGTACTTCGTAGCGAGAAATTTCGAGGCTGCACATGGGTGTTTCTCAATGTCGAGTACGCTTGCTTGGTAGCACATGTCTTCCAAGTCACTTGCTTCAGAAGCGAGGCAAGAATACTTCCTGGCATTCGGAAACGAAGAGTGGAACAGGCGAGCAAGTGTGCAGGTGTGCATCAATCATATGAGAGGCCCCATACATTTTCCGCCACAGATTTGGGGAAACAGGTCCGTGCGCAAAGCATTGTGGGGATTTTAAGATCTGTTCTCCTAAATCCTTTTGAATTCTCCTATCCACTATCCCTTAACCCCGTGACGTTTCACTCGGAGGTCAAGGAATAGGAGATAGGGTTAGAATGTAGGAGCTGATTTTTAAAGTATCCGAACGCAACCCTGTTGTCATCTGAGGTCTTCTCCTATTGGCCGGCGTCGTCGGGGGGCGGGTCCAATGCAATTCCTGCCTTTTTCTGTTGCTAAATTACATAATTCTGGTGTCTGTGTCAATAAATGAGTGCTAATCCCAGTGTGCTCAGTGTACAACATCACATGTATTTCACCTTCGATTCATGGTTTGAAAACGTAGCATTTCGCCACATGCTAATGCTAACCGGAAGTGAATAACTTTCAGAATAAAAGTATTAAGTTAATAGTGTGAACTTCTGTTTTTTTCAGAATAAAACTGATTTAATTTAATTCAAATTACGCCATATCAACATTGATTTTAATTTCTAACAGTATGTATGTACATCACTATGTATGTAGTATGTACTGTATAATGTACACATGTAGAGTTGTAGAAAATACATGGTGTACAGACAGTACAGTACACTCTGACTGTACACAGTCACTACAGTGTATACTGTATAGTAGGTGTGTAACAGTGTAATGCGTATAGTCTACTCTACACTCTACCTTTCAGCAAAGTTGTAGGGATTTAGGCTCAGTCAGCTCAGGGACTGTTTGGTTACTTTAGTTTGGTAAATGAAATAAATGTTTGCACTTTGTACTAGTAGTTCACTGTAGTTGCTGTCATAAGTCATTTGTA